CTTGGCCCATTTCAATTCTTCGTATGATTCTTGACAGCTTCCCCGGGATTTAACTTGACATCGTCACCGAGCCCTTTGATGCTTCGTAAAACAATTTTTAAGACCTACGTCAAGGTAAATGAGATAATAAAAATAGTGAAGTAAAAGAATACTCAAAAGAATGCAATTTATGATCAAAACATAAATGATGGCCTAAATTGCTATATGAAGATAATAGTGATTAAATGTGTATAAAATACATTTGGAACATGCTAAAACGGGCTAATATGAGAGAATAAAATATAACATTTAAAGACTCATCAATACCTCCTGGCCCGGACCATTGCTTCTTCGAAGGTATCCGGGGGATGAGTTGTAAGATCAGTATGAAGGAGACCATATTGTAATGCCGCCGTGAACATGGCCAACCTGGATTTGTCGTCGGTTCCTTCAACCTCCCTGGACTCTTTTCTCCACCGGATAAGGAAATTCTTCAAGGATTCTCCATGCTTCTACCGCACTGAAGCCAGGTGAGTGAAATGCCTCTTGGGACGGCAGTTCCCTACAAAATGCTCTAAGAACCGCAATCCCAATTCATCCCATGTTCGGATCGACCCGGCAGGAATGTGGTTCACCCAATCCGCAACCTTGCTATCAACTGTCTGCAGGAAACACCGGCACATCAGTGCGTCGGTGGCATCAACGGCAATCATCACCTGGACGTAGTTGTTTATGTGTTCTTGGGGATCCGACTCCCCATCATAACGCTTAACGAACGGCATCTTGAATCCCTGTGGATATGGTTCCGCAAAGATCTTCGGGGCTAAGGGAGTATTCGTCCGGGTAGTGAATACTCGTCCCCTGTTTATCTTCCTCTGCATCTCCTGGATCTGTTGCCTCAGATCCTGGAATTCGCCTGCTTCTGGTACCGGTGGCCCCAGACGCTGTGGTGCTGGGACCCTGACTTGGCTCTGAACTTCGTCCTCGTCTAGAACCACCAATGACCACACCGGCGCTTGGCTCCCACCGCGGCCGATTCGCTGTCGGGGTTCGCGGTTAGAAGATGCCACTTGGCTGGCCTGGGGTCGTATCCAACCCTGGGGCGCTTTGTCCGGATTCTTCCCCAGCCTCTCACTAACATGAGCCTTCTGGCGAGATATCCTTTCAAAGATAGTTCCCCACGGGTTTTCGTTTCCGTTGCCAATGACTTGGCTTGCAGCCCTGGCCCAATCTCCATTCACCTTACTATTCTGGGCCAACTCCTCCGCCCGGCGTCTAGCGACGACATGTCTCTCCCTCTCGACCTCCTCCGGATCATGAAGCTCCTGGAGGATGGGAGAACTCGTAGTACGCAGGACCTGGCGGGGTTGCCTAGTAGGGACATCTCGGGTACCAGATGGACCAGGGAGAGCCTTATCTAACCGCTCCATAATGTTAGCCATATTATTCAACGCTGTTTCCAGCCCATTGACAGGAACGATCATACCTTGTTCAGGATGGTCACTCCTCACCGTCAACTTGGTGGAAGCAGCGGTGTTATGTCTCGTCATTCGTCCGGCCATAATCTCACAGCTTTATCTCACAGTTTCTCTCAATGGAAGCACCAATGATGGGATTAACCCGATCAGATGGCGGACCAAGAACGTAATATGGATCAGAAAGATATAATCTTGTAATAATATTCTTTGATTAAGTGTAGAATTACTTGAGGTCTCTCTTTACAATGGTGGATTCTTTCCCCTTTTATAGTACTTCTAATATTGTAATTAAAATTATACAAAATGGGAGGGATTATGGAGATCATGGGGTTGTGATTCCCTCTTTTCCGGTCTCGTTCTCTTCCCATCTCGTACACAATCTGGTGGTGTGAACCACGTGTCCCATTCCTTCTTTGGACTGGGTCATCTTGATTTAGCCTATGATTGGGCCGTCCTTTTCCCATTCGCCATGCGTGTAGTAGCGGGCTCGGCCTGTTACCCCCACCTGGCCTTATCCATCTCGCGCTATTATGGGCCTTTATAGGGCCTGGAGTCGAGTCCATCAGACCCGATATCCATCAGGTTTATTCTACATGTTCTTATTCGTTCAGGAATGCTCTGCAGTATCTGCCTTTAGCAATTTTATTTGGTGCACTGTTTGAATATTATCGATGTATGATAATCATCAATGTGTTTCCTGATTCTTTTTTCATTACTTATAAGGTCTGGGCCAGTGGATATGCACAAATAGTCAAATACATATTCCTTCCTTGTTGTTTTACTAAACAACTTCGTAGTTAGGATTTATTCAAACAATGCTATTTGTTGAAGGTATAGCAAGTGCCCATGACTGAAAGATTGGATAAGTCTTACCTTGTTCGAGAATACTTAAAGGTATGCGCATAAATGACTTTTCACTGTCCTGGTTGCCTCATATAAACTTGTTATACTGATGTTGTAGGCGAAAGGACTGGTGAAGAACCAGTTGGAGTCTTTCAATCTCTTTGTCAGGGGAATAAAGGACATTGTTCTAGGTATAAGTGAATTTCTTAGGCGAGTTATTTCATACATTAGTATAAGTGAATATTCTCTTTTTTTGCCCCATATTTGATTGTTGTTTTCTTTGGTTATAGGTACAAGGATGTTTGTGTTGGTAATCCATCTCTTAATCCCGTAGACCGTGAAGCTTCAGATGCCTGAAATCCGAAGATATGCCGGATGTCTGACCTTACGTGAGTGTCTTTCGCTTAAAGTCCTTTTATTATAAAATCATGAAGCTATGTGTCTTAACTTCTAACTTATTAATAAGATATCATCCTTGTTTCATAAAACTGAGGATTAGTGCTCATACCCAAAAAGCATCATGGTTTCCTGCCAAACCACTTCGGCAGTTTCCTTAAAAGAACTTGAATGAAAGACGATTTCTAGATTTTGTTCTGTTATTTACCACTCCTTTATTTTATGTGGACTCTCCTCTCATTCTCTTCTTTTACATTTTTTATTTCAAGAATTATATTCCCCAATGCTTTGCTCTTTTGTGCCTCCATTTGTGGGTTGCTACTTCTTTGGTTTTTGTTGCTATTGTTGTTTCTTTTTCCCTTTTGTGTTTGTCACTCTGTTGTGCCATTGTTCAGCTACGTTGCTCCTATTGTTGCTAAAATTGAGTACCCAGATACAAAATCAAGGTTGAAGAGAGCACCCATAGAACATAAGGTAGTTTGATGCGTTTCATGTATTAAATTACTGGAGATCACATAAAACAGGTGGCTTAATTCCTCTCCCCTCCCAATAGGATGTTATCATTGGACGCATCCCCATTATGGTAAGAAGTTGTTTCTGTGTACTAAATGGGAAGGATGATGAAGAACTAACATGACTGGGTAGTGTACTCAGTTCCTTGCTAATTTGAAAACATGAGATGTGCTAGTTTAACATAAATTTGTGTTTTATTTGGACCACATGGAGCATGAGTGCATCAATATATTTTTCAAATACAAGGTGAATGCCCTCTTGAACCGGAGAAGGTAATAGCTCTATGATAAATCACGGAGAACGTAATAGCTCTATGATAAATCATATTAAATGACATGATTCTTTTCTCCTTATACTTCCTTATGATATCTTTTTTACATTCTCTAAATACACATAACACATGTAATGTTGATTCAAGAGCAACGCGCAAAGAACAGGATAGTAAATAATGCTGATAAGAATGGATGGTGACTGATTTTATTTTCTTGTTTTTCTCTTTTTTTAGGCGGTATGTGTGTCTGAACACACAGTTCATGTAGGGTCTTGTGTGAAGAAACACAACAAGATGATATTTAGCATTTCATACTATAATGTTTGAGTTGGCACAAGTGAATACCACATTTCTGCTTGTTTTTTGGGGGTAACATTTCTGTTTGTTTTTTAAGTCTTAATAATGCAGTTTACATACATTATACTTTCTCTTTTAATTATAAACCTTATTTTTTCTTGTTTACTATTATCTTCGATAAAAGAATGTATTTTTCCCTATTTGTATTTGTACTAGTGGTTTTTGTACAAGCATCAGTTAGAAGCTGGACAAAAGAAAATACAAGCAAAACAATCATTAAAATGGTCGAGGAAAAAATATACTTAGAGTTTGATCAGTTTAGAAGGAAGGTTCCCAAAACCATCCACCATGGTTGTCTTTTGCCTGTAGGTACTTCTTTAGGATATCTAAAATTGAATGTTTTATTTCTATATAGGTGGTCCCCATAATGATTGTCATGAAGGCAATGGGCATGGAGAGCGATCAAGAGGTTGTGCAAATGATAGGACGGGATCCAAAGTATTCAGATTTTCTTTTGCCATCAATTCTCGTTAGACTATTTATTTTTACCTTTTTAAATTCTCATTGGCTGGTCGAAACACTTATACTAGAAAAATGGAAACCTTTTTTTGCATCTAATAGTTACTTAATTGTATTATACTTGAATGAAATAAACTGTATAGTTTTAATGTGGGTACATAAATAATACTAGGCCCCTATAGTTTCAAGGGCCTTGGACCTTAAATTTCAAGATTTGTAGAGTTAACCTGTCTCCTACAACTAGTTGTAGTACTACACAGTGATTATGCCTTTACTGAATTTCTGCATCTTTTATTTTCAGGAGTTTGCAGGTCTCAAGGTGTACACACGAGGTCAAGCATTGAAGTTCCTTGAGAAACCTGTGATGGTTAACTTTTTTATTTTGTAGTTTTAAAGAGCATTCTTGCTTTTGAATTTGTTCTTAACTAAAAATTATATTTGCAATTGGTTGCATTCTTTCACACCCTAAAGTTCCTAACTCAGGCGCTCAGCATAGCATACATCTTAAGCCAACAAACACCAAATAGCCGGCATTTCATGTTTTCATTTCTTATTCATTACATCTTTTTAAGATTGTTCGTAATCGTCAAGAAACCAAGAAGGAGTCGATCATTTATATACATTATAGAAATATGTGATGTCCTAATAACAACAACAACAACCCAGTTGAATCCCACTACAGTGTGTGTACGCAGACCTTGCCCCTACTCGGAAGTAGGGAGGCTCGATGAACAGTAGAGTGAACATAAAAACCTTCTTCATCGAAGCACGAACAAATCAAACCAATACCAATCTAAAAGAGCCAAACATCAATAATTGAAGTTGCTACTAAAATCCACCACAAACAGCAAACAGAACCTCTGTGCAACCAATTTGGTTTGCTCCAAACAAGGTGGTACTGTGCGTGATTTGTCTTGGTAGAACTGAAGCAGTAGAAAAACGAACAGGACTAGTCAGAGAACCAGATGTGTAGCAGCGGTGGATCTGAATCGTTAAGCTGCGGTATAGGACAGACTTGCAGCAGATGAACTTTGCCGGCGATAGATAACTAGGATTTCCGGAAAACAAACACTGGTGCCTTGACGAGCTTGGCAGACAACGACGAAGGCGGACGACGTGCTGCATTACGAATAGCCTTTTGCGATTGGACGAGATCGGGAGAAGACTTGCGATTTTACGTCAGCAACGTGCAGCACCGCAAGATCTTGGACGGGAAAACAAGGTGAAGGGAAAAGATGGTGATGCCGCCGTCGCCGGACAAACCACCGGCGACGGCGACAGCGGAAGCAACAAAGTAGAGCAAACTAGGGTTTTGGACTTTTAGCTTCCCAGGTTGGCTCCGATACCATGTAGAAATATTATTAGACCTAAGCTTGAATGGTTTGATTACACCTAGATCTGCTATTTATAATAGCTACAAGACCATGACCTAATTACGAGCCCAACAAGAATGAGCCCGTTAACGGCAAACCCTACTACATTCCTTAACATGTTTCCAAGATGTGATGTCCTAATAATGTCTTACAAAAACTCAACTTATTATAAAGAACATCGTGGTCTTGATGGGTGAATGTAATCTTAAAACTATTAATTACTCAATGACACATAGGTCTTTATGGATGTATGGCTGAGCAAAACCTACTTTGAAGTTCGTGCGAAGGACCTCTAGCTTAGCTCCAACATGGGTGTGCATATTTTTTTTTGGATAAAATGTAAATTATTAATATCCAAGAGTCAATACAATGTACATCCACGAAGTAAACATACAAAGCATCGGGGCATACCCCTATAAATCAAAAGAAAGAATGGCACACACGCCAAAGGCACGCACGCCCAATCAAGAAAACATGAGTAAACAAGCACAAGGAAATAAATGTGTATCACATGGATACATAATCACCATCACCAGGGCTCGTCCTCGTTATTCAGCGTCATCAATGGGTCATCGAAAGGAAAGAAAATCCTTGTCAAAACTCCGAAAGTGAGACCCCACCGGAGGGCTTTATGAATCATCAAGACATCAAACCAAAAGGGGTCATTTGCATCATTGTTGCCACTACAACGACAAGTCCTCAACATGTGCAGGCTCATCAAGTTCACCCTCAAGGAATATATGCCGTGACCCAAGTCCACAAGTTCAGCATCGGCCAGATTGCCAGAGTAAACTCAGCCATACCTAAACAGAGACGGCAAATGCAGTTGGCCCGTGTAAACTCCAGTACACCAGGCCTGAAATCATAAAGCACGAGAGAAGCACCCAGTCTGGCATCCTAAATCACACAAGGGGTTATGGGTTCCCAAGAAGTCTCAACTTTCACACACTAGGGTGTCCAACGTACCCTTCCCTTGACGGTGTTGAACACTGGAGCCTCAGGCTCATAATGGCTTTCCAACAAAGGTGTTCGGAATGCAGCGAGAAATGCAGATGGTAAGCCCACGTTCCTGTAAGTTTTCCCGTCTAGGTGTAGAACTTATCAGCAACTGTCAGAATAAAAAAAAGTGAGCCAAATCCACCATTATAATCATATTTTCTCCCATTTCTCACCATAAGCTTACATGTAGGTCCATCATAATAACTTCCACAGAAAATGTGTGCATGTTATGCTAATGGTGAGGCGCATGATGGATGTAATTTTCAACAAGGATGGAATGGATAATGAGGTATATTTACAATGGTGGCAGTGATAACTACTTCTAGCTCACATTGGAAAAGGGTACATATTATATAAATAGATTAAGTGTTTGGAGGTTGACGAATTGTCGAAAGCATGTGGGTCTTAGCGTGTAAGTTTCTTCTCTTATTATGTTCTGCATTTTTTATTCTTGGTTTTTGACATAATTGTTGTTGTTATCATCTGCGTGTGTCATTCATTTTCGTTCTTATGTTTTATACCTTTTGTGGAGCTTATTTATTCTTTT